GAGTCAACGGGATGAAGAGTCATGACTACCACATATGGATTGAGCGCATACTTTCATCGATGGTTCGAGGCTATGTCCTTGAGCATGTCTGGCTAGTGCTGGCAAAGTTGAGCTACTTCTTTCGCCAGCTTTGTGCCAAGGAGCTATCTTCGACCGTCATTACATAATTGGAAACTATGGCACCTGAGTTGGTCTGTGAGCTTGAGAAGATCTTTCCACCCGGCTTCTTCTTGTCGATGCAGCATCTGATTGTGCACCTCCCAACTAAGGCACGGTTGGGGGGGCCCATGCAGGCCCGTTGGTGCTATCCAATCGAGCGATGTCTAAAGACTCTTCGCAAGAAATGTACAAATAAAGCCAAAATTGAGGTTTGCATTGCAGAGGCAAGCATTCGGGAGGTGGTTGCAAACTTCACGACATCCTACTACAAGCCGAACCTTCCTAGAAAGCATAATCCACCCCCTCGTTACAATGCTGGCGAAGTTGAATCGACCCTCAGCCTTTTCAAATGCCAACTAGGCAGCGCAAGTGGATCGACCCCCAAGAGATTGGATCCAGGAGAGTGGCGCAGAATCACGCTATATGTGTTCACCAACCTTGTCGAGGTTGCACCATTCATTAAGTAAGTTCTCAACGAACTTGTTCCAATACGACGTCACTATTCTGTATTGAACCCCATTGATTCTCTTTGGTACAGGGAATTTGTTCGTCAAGAGTGGCATCAATCAAGGGATCCTACCCTGCACAAACATGATACCCTTCTTTTAGAGGGTGCGGGAGCTGGGAGGCCTGATTTTATTTCTTGGTTCAAACAAAAGGTCGTACGTTCGTCGATATTCCTTAGTAGCTCGTACGTTCCAATAGTATAACGATGTATCATGCTTGAGCTTGCAGGCGCAAACCAATGCGTCCATGAGTGATGAGTTGAGACAGGTTGCAAACGGCTTCAAGTTAAGGGTGAAGTCATATACCGGTTATGACATGAACGGATATCGCTTCCACACATCAAGACACGAGCAGACTCGGCCTGGTTGGAAAACCACCAACAGCCAAGTTTTTACGCCGGGCACTAATGGCGTCGAATACTACGGAATAATTGAGGAGATCTATGAACTTGAATATGAGGGCCGGGTACCTCTTACTCCTGTCATATTCACGTGCCACTAGTTTGATCCTGCACGAACGAGACGGACCCCTCATCTGGGGCTAGTCGAGATTAGGCATGATTCCGTCTATAAAGGAAAAGATGTCTATATTGTGGCTTAACAGGCCGTGCAGGTGTATCATACGCCATACGCGTGCCAAGACAAAGACCATCTTAAGGGTTGGTCTATTGTGCACCAGGTATCTTTGCACGGTAAACTACCTGTTCCAAACGATGAAGATTACACCTTCGACACAAACACAAATGATGGAGAGTTCTATCAAGTAGATGGGCAACAAGGGAGCTTTGAGATAGTCTTACCCGGTGTGACGACCGCCATGGAAGTAGACAATGAAATGGTTGATGACGAGGACCTTGGAGATGTAGTGCTAAATCCGAAGGACATTCAAATGCTTGAGCGATTCCATTTAGGCAAAGACAATGAAGAAGACACAGAACCTTTGAATAGTGTTGCCCATTTAGACAATTTTGATAGTGATGATGAGACCTATGACCCCAATCATGAAGATTATTCCTAAACCATGTAATACTATGTTTTTTATTAAATTTTGTTATGTTTATTCATTTTGAACTATTTGACATGTATGTACTAACGCTTGTTGTTCATTCTTTGTACATTGCAGGTGACAGAACAAAGATGGTGGGCAACCGTTCACCGTGGCAGGTGCTCTCGGTGTACCAGAGGCTACGCCCTCCTGATGGAGGCGAGGGGACGTCTTCGCCCCTAGCGGCGAGAGCAGGCCCGGGTCGCCCCAGCACGGGGAGGGGGATGGGGAGGGGGAGGGGCCGAGGTCACCCCAGGAGGGACCCACCTCCTCCCTCGGCTCTCGACCAGCCGGAGGACCCATCTCCTACCTCGGAGGACCACGTGGCGGCCACGGGCACGACCACAGACACTCCGTCGGGGGACGAGGGGACTCAGCAGACGGAGGACAGTTATGCTCAGTCAGCTCCCTACCTGCGAGGTCCCACAAGCCTTCCTCCGGTTCCGCTTCCTGACCGACGCCCACTGGTTCGTCCTGTGGGAAGAAGTAAGTAACTATAGATGTTATCACCGGTACTTCATATGATACGTTGAAAATCAAAAGAGAAACTGATAATTTTTCGTAATCACTTATGTAGGGGCTGGCTAGTTCTGTCGGGTGCTCTTGACTCCCCACGCACCCTCGCTACCGTCCTGGGATGTCTGTGCAGGAAACACTTCCCTGGCCTTGTGGACTTGAAAGAGGGGAGGTGGGAGCCGGCCTGGTCGTAGGACAAGTACAAGCTCGGCTCGGATGACGAGCAGGACAACAAGCAGGAGCGGGTTTTGGTGGACTTTTGGGTAAGTGTCTCACAACATAGCTCAATACATCTCCTCCATTGCTTAAGTCTTTTATTGAAATAATGAACGGATACATCGTGTTTGTATGCAGAGGTACTTCAAGGCCGAAGAAGGTAGAGAGACCCTGGCGGATCAGACGGCACACAGAGCCTGTAAGAAGTACGTCGGCGACATGATTCACAAGGCGCGACTCTAGGCCCACGTCGACTACTACAGGTCCATCAACAAAGAGCCCCTCAACAAAAACGGCGCAAGAAAGGTGGCACTAACCAAGGAGCAGTACCTTCAGGTAGGTGAATAATATTGATTCGTTTTGAGATTTAGTAGGTCCAGAATTGATCTTCTTATATGTCAAACACTTGATGATGTGTAGGTGCCGGCCTCGTGGTGCATGTCGCATAGATCGGCATGGTCGAGGATCATGGACAGGTACCTTGACCCGGCGTACATCGCAAAGCACGAGCAAGGCAAGCAGAAGCGGGCACTGAGGACCGCTCCAACTCACCACCATGGCAGCCACAACCTCCCCGCATTCAAGCGGGCACTTGTACGAGATGTCATTTATCTATTCTAACACTCAATTTTGCCTGATTTCTAATCATCTTGCCATCTTTCTTGCAGGAGGTGGCACACCCGGACGTGTCGGTGTCGGAGTTTGGGGCATGGGTTGTGTCCCACATGGGCCCGGTGAAATCCGGTGTCGTCTTCAACCCAGATGCCCCTGCCTAGGCTTACTCTAACCCGAGCGACTACACAGAGGCAGTTAGGGCGCTCCGTGGCTCAGATCACAATCTGAGCACTGAGCCCCTTGAGACAGAGGTGATCGTGAGGCTGGGGCAAGGCAGGAAGCACGGGCGGTTGTGGATTGCAGACAGCACTGACTCCTCGAGCTCTGCACCCTCTCTCTCCGACGTGAGGGCACGAAGCACGGCCAGAAGCCTTCCCATACGTGCACGGCCTACTCCAACACTATCGCGGGTCGACGAACTTCAGGTAATTCCGGTTTCACTCGTCGTACATTGAACGTTACACACATTGATCAGATTTGCAATACTAAAACATGTGATTGAAACACTGTAGGCCGAGCTGGTAGAGACAAGGGAGACGCAAGCGCACCTGATTACAGAGCTGGAGGCCACGAAGAAGCAGATGGCAGACATGTATCAGATCATGCAAACCATCGGGCAAGCATCGGGTGTCCAAGTGCAGTTGCCAGCTCCAGCTCCGGTTCGACACTTCACTCCTGAGTATGAAAGTTTAATGCGTTCGTGCCGTTGGGATTGTCGGCCTTCGTGCCGTTGTGATTTTCGGCCTTCGTGCCGTTGGGATTGTCGGCCTTCGTGCCGTTGTAATTGTCGGCCTTCGTGCCGTTGTTTCTTGCAGGTTGGAAACCTCCCCGTGCAGGGGAGGTGCTGCCGAAATTTTCAATTTTGAGTCTAACACATGCAATCTCTTCTCTTTTGTGCAGCCTCCGTCGGCGGGTTCAAACAATCCCGCTAGCGTGTGACCGGCGGCTGATCACGTCAACCCTTCGCCGCAGTCTGGTCCTTCACCGCTGTCCAGGGGGCCACACCTGTAGTCTCCGTTGCCGCAGTAGGGATGTTGAACTTTGTGATGTCGAACTTGTAATAATAAACTTGTGATGTTGAACTTTGGTGCATTTGTGATGGATTTTCGATGGATTTATTAAATATGCGTGTGTTTGTGATATATAATGCATATTGGTGATATAGATGTGATGATTGATGTATATATATATATATATATATATATATATATTGTCTGTTACAATGGAATGTAAAAAAAATTGCAATTCTCGGGGTCTTTGCCGAGTGCCATGGGCAAGGCACTCGGCAAAGTTTTTTCAAAAAAAAAAATTCTTTGCCGAGTGCCTCGCCGCGGCACTCGGCAAAGTAGTTTTTTAAAAAAATCTAGAAATTCTTTGCCGAGTGCCTAAACAGGGACACTTGGCAAAGAAATTATTTAAAAAAAATAAAAAAAAACTTTGCCGAGTGCCTGGCCAGGGGCACTCGGCAAAGTAATTTTTAAAAAAAAATAAAAAAACTTTGACGAGTGCCTGGGCAGGGGCACTCGGCAAAGTACTTTTTTTAAAAAAATAAAAAAAACTTTGCCGAGTGCCTGGGCTGGGGCACTCGGCAAAGTAGTTTTTTTTAAAAAAAAAATTTGCCTAGTGCTGGGTCGTGCACTCGGCAAAATAACCGTTAACGGCCGGCGCGCAACGGCCGAAAATATTTTGCCGAGTGCCGCCCCAAGCACTCGGCAAAATTGTTTTTTATTTTGCCAAGTGCCCCGATAAAAAACACTCGGCAAAGACCCTTTGCCGAGAAAAATTTTGCCGAGCGGACTTTGCCGAGTGCTACACTCGGCAAAGCCTTTGCCGAGTGCAAATGGCTCTTTGCCGAGTGTAAAAACACTCGGCAAAGCCGCGGCCTCCAGTAGTGCCTGGATCGTAAGCTCTATAATGTTCCCCTCCCCAGTTCTTTCGTGCACCCTTTTCTTGATGACACCTGTTGCCATAGCGAAGCGTCCAGTTCCCCCAACGATAGCCCATTCACCTCCTTCAACTGGTACTCCCATCACCTGAAGTGTCGATCCCTTAAACCTGCGCTATTCAACGTCATATTCAGTGAATATTAGAAGATTAACATCTCAATGAAAATGAAGCTATTAAATGCGCATGAGTACACATGTATATTTATACTACTCCCTTCGGTTTACATGCCAAGGTATATCAAGAGACAAATTTTACAATTTTTAACAATCAATAATATATAATTGAGATTGTTAGATTTGTAATCAAACATACTATACAATAATCATAAATAATACTCTATAATATAAAATAAATGATTCATCAAAGTGTGATATCGAATCAAACACCATGCATGCAATATCACACCACCCCTTGCAAACTGGGTCGGAGGGAGTATATACTAGTATATGTTATGGACCAGCAGATTGAGCAGACGTACCCTTCATCCTCGAACACTAGGCTGAAGGAGTTATGCCAGTCACCGGCATTGACATGCAGGCCCTGGACACGCGCAATGACTTCAGCGGAACATGAGAGCCCATCACGAATAACCCAGTTGTTAACGGCCAATGTGCCAAACTGGTGTCTCACTATGGTTTCCACCTGGTTGGCGTTAGGGCCTTTGTACGTGTGGTACAGGTACAGGCCACTGAAGTTGAACTCATTGCCCTGTGTGGTTGCATAGGAAGGCGTGACTTGGAGGATGCAAGGAGTGGTGGCCATGGGAGGAGAACGAAGGTGCTGGCTGATGGACAGCTACGACAGACAGTACCACTGATTAGCCAAAGTTTGTACTGCGTCTACTGATGAGAGAAACAAAGGCCACGGCAAAGCTATTTATAGGGCCAAGGCCAACACTCAGTGTAGCGGAGACCAAGCTATCCATCTCCTCTCTCCATTTTCACAAACAACGTCTCACACTGATACAAAGTAAAAACTTCAGCACATAGAGTCACTGGCAGGCGTGGGTCTCATTGCAATGAGACACAACTGTCAGTGTCTCGCTGCAGAGAAGACTACTACTCCCTCTGTCAAAACTCTAAAACGTCGGGCACGGTGAACAAGGAGGACTTGAAGCGTCTCCATTTTCATTTAATCACCATGCTCTCGTTAATCCTCAGCGTCCGTTCGTTTTCCCATGCATGTAAACGGATAATAACGCCGTTGCATGTGGAGGCTCCTAGATGGAAAACAGACATGGAGGAAGAAATAAATGGCTAACGGACTCCACAAGAGGGCAGCCATGCAAATTCAGCCTGGGATATGACGAGTTGTGAGCACTGGAAACCAAGCAAAATACTCCTACCATCAATGGTTCACTGAGGAGTAGAAGAGATAAGCTTAGACAATTTAGACTGGAATGAGAACAAAATCGGAGTACAAAGTAGGCACAGCCCTCCTATCATCAATGGTAGTAGCATGGCCTCATCTGGTCAGATACATCTTGAAACCGAGCTCCATAGTATGCGTTCATGTTGTTGCGAATCATGTAGATGATTTGTGGCTTGAAGATTTATTCAAGAATCACGTAATCTATTCCATTCTATGCGCTCTAGAATCGAACTCCATACCACGTTTATAAATTATTGTGCGATTACCTTGACGACATGTCACTCAAAGACTTATTTAAGCATCATGTCATTCGTTCCATTACACATTGGAATCATACTCCATGCCATGGCTGAAATCGGGTGGTTCTAACTCGTATGACCATATGTCACGAGTACAAATCAGAAACAGGAAAATTAAGGGAGGCGTGTGAGGGTATTTTAGAAAGTAAAACATGATGTATAGAAGAATCGCTATTAACTTTAAGATTACTAGGTAAGTATATAGGTTAAAGGAAATGGTATGAGTTTGGTTAATACTGTTGCCCGCCTAAATTGCACCCCCACCCTCCACATTGGGCCAAGCAAGCTGAGCGAGGCCCAATGCTGGGCCCGCGCTGGCCTCGGCCCCTTCCTACGCAGGGCCAGGGAGGCGCACAAGCCTGTGGGCGCAGCCGCCGCGGCCCCTCGGTTCCCTCCCAAATGGAAGAATCCAGAATAGATGGAAATTTTGTTTAAATTTAAGGAAGATAAAATAGAGTTCATTTAGGAAATAACACTGAGTTTGCTTAGGAAATAGGATTGGTTTGTTAGGAAAGGAGAACTCCAAATCTATAAGGACTCCTCCTCTGGTTTGCTTGGAATACAAGTCCTATAGGGACCATAAATATATGGGTCGTGTAATCGTTCCAATCTCAAGCAAGAATTGAGTAATTGCTCATCCCCTCAATCTCTCTCTTTCTCTCTCTCACCTGCGCCCACGCTGCCTGCTGCCCTGTGTCGGTCATGCCCACAGCCCCTCCCCCAGATTGGACTGTGACACCAAATTGTCACACGTTTGATTTCCTATCCCGAGGGCGGGGTGACCTGCTAGTGCCTGGCCAAGGCTACCTATGGCCATTGGGAGGCCAGCTAGGACTGGGCAGGAGCGTACTGGGCAGGGCACGGTGCAGAGGGTAGCGGCGGTAGCGGTGCGGCTGGCGTGGGCAACAACCGACTGCTGCTGCTGATGGCGCACGTCGAGCGCAGGGAGGCAGCGCAGAGAGAGGCGATGGCTGTAGAAGAGAAGAGGGGATGGAAGAGATAAGGGATTAACCCTAAACTTGCTTGCCTTTCATTGATAATTCTCCCCTCATATATATAGGGGGTTTACAAGAACGCTAATGGGCTTGGGCCTCTTTATCAAATAGAGTCCATCACCACTACCACTCCTTATAGATCCAATCTATAATAGCTGGGCATAGGCCCCTCCCTAATTAATTGGCTTGTTGACCTGTCCGAGCATCTCCTTCTACTATAAGTCTTACCGACCATAACATCTCTCCCTACTTGGAGAATCAGCTCGTCCTCGAGCTGGAATGTTGGGTAAAGCTTCTTGAATAGTTCTGCGTCCTCCCAGGATGATTCGGCTGCTGGCTGATGTTTCCATTTGATTATGTAGATGAGATTTCAGCATGAGCTCAGGTTCTGGTACGTCACTCCATTGTGCATTGTTGGAATTTGAGGAGGACTTAACGGTGGGTCCACTGTACTTCTTGAGTATGCTCACATGAACGGCGTTGTGGATGTGAATATCTGAAGGCAGGTCCAGGCGGTAAGCGACTGAGCCAATTCATTCACTAATCTGGTATGGGCCAAAGTATTTGGGAGATAACTTGCCTTTTTGAAATGTGGAGACAGGGACTGCCGATCTTGCCATTAGCTTTAGCCACGCCCTATCTCCAATTTGGAAGGTTCTGTCCTCGTGCTTCCTGTTGTAATGTTTGGTGTAATTGTCCTGAGATTGTTGCAGGCGAAGATTTGTTTGTTCCAAGAAATTATCCCTTTATGTTAGTAGGTCATCCATTGACTGGATTTTCCTCTATTATATCTAACTAGTCCATCAACCCGTGCTCTCGCACGGGCTAGAATTTTAGAAGATATAAGTATTAGGTACTGTTTAATAGTCCCTTCATTCCTAATTTTAAAATGTTTTGGCTCTTTTAGATATATTGTTTCTACTATATATCTAGACAGTACATCTAAGTGTATAGCAAAATCTATGTATTTAGAAAACTCAAAATGTCTTATAATTTGGAATGGAGGGAGTACATGTACTAATAAAGAATTACTTATATAAATTGTATGTTTTCACTTTGTTTATTTTCTAACATATTAGATATTGTGTAGTCTATATCTATTTTTCAACGAACTAATCTATATTTTTTTTATCTATATTCATATTTTTCCCTTGCATGGCACCTCTATATATTTTAAAAATGCAATTACTTTGAAACCTTACCATTAATCATGCTGGCTCTTATTGCATCATGTATCCTAAATTTTAATTTTTCAAATTTTATTCTTATCGATTGCTATAGATTTTTTTTCTCCCCTCAAGTTAAGTTGAAACTCTCGTGCTGATTGTATCTTTCATCAACTATCCTTTTTCCACCTTTTTAAATAAGGATTTTAGGTTATAGATTATGTTCTTAAGTACTATAATAGCATAAGCCATTATTTTAAACATGCACTATATTGCTCTAGATAAGTCATAGAGCTTGAAGTGAGATATCGGACAGGGGTAGTAGTGCTAACCTCAAGAAAATTTTAATACTTAAACCTAATAATGATCGACTTTTTACTCTAAAGTATTCTTAAAGGGCTAGAAAAAATACAACCACCAGTGGTCACCCACACTTCTCAAGATGATTGAATTTTCCTATCAAGGAGTGCAGTTATGGTTACACTACCAATATAGACTTGTCAAACAATTTAGTTAAAATACATAAATATATCTAAAGTAACAATCTATACAATTTATAAATAATTTGTTAGTACCATTAGCGTATGAATTGTTAAGAAAATATTTTTATGTGATGAAACATAACATATGTATTTTATTGCTCATACATGTTGGCACATGCACATATTTACTTTAATCAAACCTTACTATATTAGTACTGATAGAGGTGGGGTAATGTAGAAACATATATATGCTCTAGGAGATGTTGATAATTAAGATGTAGATTTAATTCGGTATTTTTCTAATAATGAGATGAAAATTTAGTTATGTAAATTATCGATCATAATAAGAGGACATCGTTAATTAAATGCAAATTCAGGTCTACTTTAGATCTTGTTTCTTAACGACATATTTGGATAATATAAATCAGAGTCATCAAAACAACAGTGAATAATTATATAGAAAATAGAATAGATCCAATAGCTATTATTATTATTATTATTATTATTATTATTATTATTATTATTATTATTTTGTTGTTGTTGTTGTTATCAACGGTGATTATGTTATACCTAATTGATAGTAAGATGTTTCTTATTTTTGTGGGAATTTCTAGGATCTATTTTTTGTTTTCCTATCACGTCTTGTGAGGATTAACTTGCAGGCTCCAGTGGGGACCTCTAGTTAGAATTTCTAGTATTTATCTTTTTTTTTCTAGTGTGATATGCACTGAGTTGAAATCTAGTCTTAAGATACATCAACTCTTGATACAACCCTTTTTTGACTTCGTAAATCAATAGTTTATCTTTTAACTATTAATCAAGTTGTTGCAATTTTTTCAAATGATAATTAGAAATTCTAGTATTCTTTATGTTTTATTTAAAAATTGTTTTTTATTAAAAAAGAGTTTAGGTCCTAGTAGTATTGTTTTCCACATAAGATGAAACTATGCTTGCATCCCGATACCAACATATTGAATTCGTTATATCGTAGGATTATATGTGTGTAGTATTATATATATCATAGAGTCATAAAATTAAATTAATAATATTGATATGACATAATGTTTTAGTAAAAATGTATAAACTTATTTCAAATAATAACTTATGCAATTTATTATCATGGAGTATTAATATAAAATGTTATCGCTACATGGTTTGTCAAGTGAACATTTTTCCATGTTCTATACACTACTGGCAACCACATTATCCCTGTGTGCTCAAAAACCGTCAAGGAAGCTGGAAAAACCGTCAAGGAAATAAATTCTGCCGGGCAACCAACAGGCAAATCCCATCAAGGATAGCTTGACAAAGAAATTCTTTTTGCCTTTGAGTTTCCTGTCAGAAAGACATCTCTGACGGTATTATTTTGACAGGAAGCTCACAGAAAAATTGTGCGTCCTTGGGTTTAGGAAACCGTCAAGTTAAATGTTTTCTCGTCAAAGATATAAG